GATATCTTCACCTAATATCTTCCCACTCCTTTTTACCAGCCAAAACTCCCACTAACAATTAACTTTCGAAACACAGTTGATCTAGACAATTGCAGTTTGCGAAACTCGGAGCAAAGCTGGTGCTATGGGACATTAACGAGAAAGGCAATCTGGAAACAAAGCAAATGCTTGACGACATGAAAGCTGAGGTAATTTTTTTACATATAGAAACGGTGGATTCCGTTGAAAATGTCACGCAAGTGCTCAAAACAAATTTAATCAATTTTATAATCTACAGAGGTAAGCATCAACTTGGTCGTTAACGAATAAAACGCAATGAAATGCAACAAATGCCACTACAGTGAGAACATAAGGCATCGTGAGATGCGACTGATAAAACATTATGCAGTCATTTGCACAAAGGACAGCAAATCAGCCAGAACTATTACTAGCCACTTACAAAGTAGTAGAAACTAAGTTCGAAATCGTTCCAAAATAAAAACGGAAAGCTAAGCCACAGACCAAGGGGATTTCAGAATTGAAATTGGTTACTCAAGTGAGTGCTTTCTTCTCAATCGAGTCACTTAAGGTCATGAAACTTGTAGCAAAGGGATAAAACGGTAACTTTTACATGAAATCAAGGGGACTGACGCAGCATTTGTTCCCATCGCTCGCGTACAAATTTGGAAGTTGAAGTAATTGATCGTCGCGCGTTCTGGTCACGAGCGTCTGGGGGCGACGAGTTCACGCGAGGGGACCAAACGCTGCCGCCCATCAAAGGCTAAACGGAGGAGAGGTAAAAACCACTTCTGAGCAGGCGTAGTAATCATGCACACTCACTTAGGCTGCTTTCATGCTTTGCGGCAACAAAATAGGGAATCGGCGATCCGGCATTTCAGAAGAATGGGCGCCAAAGGAAGGTATCGCTATTGATCTGGCGAGTTAGTACAAGGAGAAAAGGCAATTCGACATGATGCGCATACTCCCAGAACGTCAAATCACCAATTCTCTCATTCTCACAAGTCGCCAAATCGATACCTATTCTTTGCTTTAGCGCGCGTTCTTCCAAAACGTCAGATCGCTGATTCTCGTACTACGCGTCGCAAAGTGAGAAGGTAGCCTTAGGGATAGAAGTCCTATTTTGACTCTCACCTGGCGCTGGGATACATGAATACTACTACAAAGCCAGTAGAGCGGAATAATGGTAACTTTTGGAGTGAGATTCCCATAAAATGCGATCAAAACAATTCAAAAGATTGCTACCAATTTAGTTAACAAGCCAGGACCACTTGAAAATATAATAGCTAACGATATTTCAACAAACACTAGCAAAAAAACCAAGTTGAACATTAACAATTACTTACGTCTTAACTCTATATATCAACTCTCGAACAAAACAAATTAACTTTCTGTTATCAAAGTTATTAACATCAAAGAGGCAATAAGGTCAAACAAGGGTCGAACAGGGATGGCTCAAACGTAAATTCGAGGCAGCTGGGAATGAACATTTAGTTAGAACAAAAAACTTTCCGGTGATTGTAGAGTTATTCACGTGGGATAGCTATAGAGCCACCGTGAATTTCTCCAAAGAAAAAATGAACAATTACCTCGAAATACAATTGATCAAACATAACTCTACAGGACAGAAAAATCTTCTGCAAAGACGGATTCAAAAATCAGCTTAAAGGCACATTCCGCGGTGGTCATATGGGCGAAATCGCTTTAAAAAGCGTTTCCTCCTCGCTCATCAGCCTCTCATTTAGTATAAAAAACACGAGGAGCGAAAGAAGGAATTGAAACCAATTATCCTAGTCCGTCCATGTAACCAGAGTAAAATGTGCCTTCAAGAGATTTACATACTCAAATGCTGATTAATTACTTCTTTGTATCCAACTTCTTTAGAGGATCACCAAATTTACAGTTTGTGCTTGAAAATTCCAACACCAACCTCCTACATCATTCCTTAATTTTGTCTTTATGCTCAAAGAAGCAGTCCCCCTCCAGTGGGCAACAACCGTACAGGTGCAATGGGCACTCCTCCTGAATCGGTAGAATACTGGACAACTTTCTTCTGAACTTATCTACAGCTTGTCTCTATATCCCGATGGGGCGGGCGTAGCTGCACATTTCACTTGAATATGGCATGAACGCATGTTTTCGCGGGATATTTCTAATCGTGACAGCTGTCATCTCTCTTGTGTTGGAAAAGGTACATGACAACTAAAACTTTGGCGGGGGGGGGGGCGTCCCGCTGCGAAAGGCCAGAGCGCAGAGAAATAAAGAACTGCGAATCGAAGGTATCGATAAGTTCGAAAAACATGTCGCGAGCCAGGAGATTATTTTTGAAGGGAGAGGACACCGCGGTGAATGAGTCACTCATATGCGTGAAAAGTTGGAATTTGAAAGTTTAGGGCAGTCACAGAACGACATCCAGCCGTGAGTGTGCAGAGAAAAGCAGAAAGTTGGGATTGAGTCTTAGTTATTCAGGGACCGCTGATAAAAACGAATACAGATTCTTCAACATGAAAATATCCCTTTAGAGGCGCAGCCGACGTGCTGTCTGAATGAACTACCAACTTAACTCGGGTGATCGAGGGCAGATACTGTTTCTCAACATAAGATCTCCAGTAGAGATAGACTCTAGAGGTGGGACTACCTATTTTGTAGCCAGGTGAACTCGGCTGGTAACAAACCTTCGCGTAGCTGTAGCTGTCAGAGTACTCCTGTAGCGATGATGGATCCGTGCAGGCCATAGCAGCGGATGCAGAAATAGCCTGAACGTAGCTTCGAAGATAATGCACGATAGCACAATGGTTCGCTTCAACAATCGCTCACCTTCTCTCTAATATAGTCGTCAAACGCCAGCAGAAAGAAATCACTGTTGAAAGTTGGAGTGGGTGGACCCGAAGGTGGTAAAGTATCCACTCCAGAACTTGATTGTGATACATGCTCGAACGGTTTGCAAATACCAATGGCACGCTTGATGAGTATACTCATTTTCCACGTAAATTTGAAAGCATTACTGTCAAAGCTCACCAACTGACGACGTACAGTCTGTTCAAGTTCTTCGCATGTATGAGCAGCTGCTGGTATTTCTAACATGGAGGAGGATTTCCCATGATCTTTGAAACGAGAGCACGCAATCTAGAAACTGGTATCCATATAGTACATTTACGGTTTCATGGTACTGGACTTTAGCTCCATTTTGAGCAAGGGCGGTGAAAGAGGCATCGAGCGGGGATCACGTACACAGCGTCCGCGTCCTCTACAGACAACTTGAACTCAATCCTTTAATCCTCCATCCCTCCGGTTTTCTGTTTTTCTCTGCGCTCTCACGTCTGCTTGACTCTGAAAACTGTGACCTTGTACATTCCAACTTTTCACAAATGATTAGTGGCCTTCTACCGCGGAGTCCCCTTCAAGACCCCATCCAAAAACATCTAGGTGTCACTTAATCATCCGCACCAGAATCTACGTGAACCGTGGCTAGCCAATAAATGCTGTGATAGTTCGTGCGCCGCACCGCATTTAACTGTCTCAGGTTACGTGAAGGACAAGCGGGGCTTTCTGTAGGCTTTCTGGCGCGAAAGGCTAGAGCGCAGGAAGTAGAGGACACCGTTGCCAAGGCATCGAAAGGTGCAAAAAAAACTTGTCGCCAGCTAGTAGATGGCTCTCTTAGAGGAAGGTGACTCTTTAGTGGATAAGACACTTAACATGACCGAAAAGTCGGGAGCCTCAAGAGCACAGTGGCCATAAGTGTTATGCATATGCGAGAGCGCAGAGAAAAACAGAGTGCTGACGCTATTGAAGCGATTGAGCTCAAGCTGTCCATAGACCCTGAGCGTGGAAGAGTGCTGCTATTTATTCACCGATCAAGTGTCACGAATGTCCACCCACATTTTGAGGAAGAGGCAGAAACGGGTGCGCCTGCTGTGATAGGATCATCCACTGTTGCTGTTCTGGTGTTAATTGGTTGAACGACGGTTCCATCGCCTGGTGTCCAGGAGCTGATCCATTTGGTGGAACGGGAATCTCATACTGTATTAGATCATTTTAATTATCATCTAAAAGTCACAAATACTTGAAAAAATCCGCCAAAATTTACATCATTACACATGGAAAGGTTTTCGTCGGTTGTCCGAAGTTGCATCGGTCCATGTGCAAACCAGCAGTGCGGTTCAAATCTGCACACTTCTCCACGCCTCCAGAAGTCGCACAACATCGTCTACAAAACTATTTTGTTCGTATTACGCAATTATTAG